TCAACTGACTCACGTCGATCCGTCAGACTGCCTAGTTCGACCCAGCCGAACTCGTTCGACTGTACGACACACTCAAGGCTCCCAAACCGTCTTCCACGAATTTTCATCCATCACGTGACAATTCCATCTTAGCTGACATGACTTCCTGCAACTCCTCCAAGCATCCCTGTCGCGCCAACAATCTTTCACCCATGTCTGCCATAACCCAAGGTTTTCAGTTCCACAAATTTCTCCACCTCAAACCTAACACTCATTGACACCATGGTTCTTTGTAGATTGACCGTGAAAAATATCCGAGCTACTAACGTGATGCCCAAGTACACGAACAGTCTCCATATACTAATAGCAATTCCAACCAAAAACACTCTTGGCCTTCACGCGGTGTGGCTCCCGTTGCTCAACTCCAATGCTAAGCTAATTGCTTTAGCCCAGCCCTTGCCTTCCCGATGGATGCACCGAACCAATGATGAATTTTCTCTGTTCGAATTAGATATGCACCCTTGCGTCGTCCATGAGGACTGGGTCCTCTTTTTCTTTTCAAAACAAATTCCTAAGTCGATCGGACCTGCAGCGGAGCTCTGCCGTGTAGCATGCCTAGCCCCGCCACACAACGCACCAGCTAGCCCCGCTGGGCCACCCCGCACGCGCGTCGCCACCTCTGCTTCAGCCGCCTGGCTTTTGTGCTGCGTCTGAGCGTCGCTTTGTGCCACATGCACCTCCGCACCGCAACGCCTTGCGATGCGATCGAGCCGCACATGCTAGCTGCGTCACGATCCGATCTCCACAAACCCGTCAAGATTGCGAACGTCTGACGTATTCCCAGTCGATCTCAACCGCGCACACCAATTGCACTACGGCAACTTCCTGTGCAGACGATACCGACCAACACATCAAACCTTCTTCTAGATCAACTTTCATAGCTTCTTTGTATCGAACCTTGCTCATGATATCATTTGGTAGAATAAACCCGAGGCATACCCGCGATCATCCGAGGATCAAGCAATCATACGACTATGACACCCAGATCTGTTAACGAGGTTCACCGATATGGCTACATCCCCGGGGCCTGACTACGGGCACTCCTCCCCGTGACACCGTCACAATACCGCACCCGATCGCCCTGGACTAGGGATGAAAACGGAGCGGAAACGGACGGAACTGAGTGATATCATATTTCTTTTCATATTTTTTTGCAGAAGTGGAAACGAATACAGAAACCCCGGAAATGAATACGGAAACAAATACTGCCGGAAACGGACACGGAACGAATACAAAGCAGATACGGAAACAGAAATAGGCATTGGTCGGAACTTAAAAACCCCTTGAATCATACAGAAATACACACAAAAACAAACAAATTTAATGAGTTAACATGGCTACAAAATAATATCATTATGTTAGCAACTTAGTGTAGTATTGTAGTAGTACCGGACAATTGCGTATAGGGTCAAGCTGAGTACATGTGTGGTAGTAGAAGTTGGCCCTTAGATCCATTCTACTAATTGTGTCATTGTGTTCTCTTTGGTGCTTGGGCTACAAAGCAGCTATAGAACTATAGTACAAACAGAAATTCCATATTCACGGTTCCATTTCCATGCATGTTCCACCGGAAAACATCATTCCGTTTTTGTTTCCGTTTCCACATAAAAAAATTCATTTCCACTTCCATTTTGCAAATTTCCATTTCCCTTTTCATATTTCCTCTCCGCTTTCATTTTTCCTCCGAAAAAGCGGAAAGTTTCCACTCCATTTTCATCCCTACCCTGGACACCGACACAAGCCGCCGGCTTCCCCTGCGTTCTGGTGCTATTATGTTGGCATAAATTACATCGTGTGTCTACCCCCACTATATATGAGAGGCTTATCTAAACACAATAGAACTCCTAGTCCAACTATAACCTATCTTGTACACAATATTCGACACAACTTTAACAGTATATAGACATATTTTAGAGTGTAGATTCACTCAGTTTGCTCTGTATGTAGTCTATAGTGAAATCTTTAAAAAGACTTATATTTAGAAACGGAGGGAATACAAGTAATGGTAACAGAGATTTTGTAAGATGATATTGTCTTGTCTGCGCAACGGACAGGACAATGCAAGAAATTTGCACTCCTAGAAAGTCAATCCACTTACAGCTACACCAACTAGATGCGGTTACATAGATGATACACTACACTGCTGCGGGGTTCGGTTACAATTTATTTAAAAAAAAAATTATATGAAACATGACATTTTAAATTAATACTCGCTCCGGATCAAAAAGAAGTGTTGTGGTTCGAGTTCAAATTTGAACTGCATTTATTTTGGATCGGAGGGAGTAACATTTAAAATTAATTGAAAGTATGTACTCGCTATGATTCATACTACTTGTCGCTGCTTTACTACAACTGAGGGTCTTTGATAAGGTGACATATGTGGTGATAATTGAAAATAAGTATAACACAACATAATTGTGGGTCTTTGATAAGGTGACACTTGTGGTGATGGAGAATGTGTGCACATGTTGAGATAATTAGTGGGGATGGGCTAATAATGGAAAAAAAATCTATGCATATTGAGGTGAGCCTTTCATAAGATGGCATGGGTGCATGTTAAGATAAATACAAGTAATAAGGATAAAGCATTACTTATATGTCGTCAAATTAGTGGGGAAATATCTATCTCAGCGCAAAAGAGCAGAGTTGACGTGGCCAATTGGAGTCCAGATCAGATGGTGTTGATTATCCACACGGACACGGTGGAGGTGATTATAGCCGAGCGCTGGCGGGGTAAAAGGCCAAAAGCAAGTAAAGGACGAAAGCGGTCTGCATGGATGTGTACTTGGCTGCTTGCCTGGTCAGAAGACGAAGAAGAGTCAAAGAACTAGTTTGACCGTTTGTATTTGAGTTCATTCAGTTCACCCGGTCTTTAGCTGTAAGGCTGCCCGTAATGGGAGTATTATAGGTAGCATTATGCATGTCAACTAAGCAATTTTGATAAAGTGACATATTTTTAAATGAAGAAAAAGAGGCTTGAGTATCATATCATGATACTGTATCATACTAAATGATATGCTATTTTGTGTCATGCATGACAATAAATGTAGTCCTCCATGATACCAACATATGATACTATGCATTAGAGATATAGTATTATAGACTAGTATCATATGCACGATACTAGTACTCCCTCTGTAAACTAATATAAGAGTGTTTAGATCACTAATAGTGATCTAAACACTCTTATATTAGTTTACAGAGGGAGTATATGATACTCCCCGTTACAACCGGCATAAGCAGATGCTCTGAAGGCTATCCATGCATGCACAGACGTGGGGCGTCAGACAGCGCGGCTCGTCTCAACGGAGCAGTATATACTAGTAGTAGTCATTTTCTGGCTGAAGATTTTGCTGCTTCATCGTGAGCGCCCACCAACCAACCAATGCATCGAACTGGGTGTTTTCGCTCCTCCTCCTCCTTTCCCCCAACGGAATTCATTATTCCGTAGTGCGGCCATACTGGCGGATGAGCTGCTAGTACGTACTACGTGCGTGCTCTCGGTCTCGGCCGGTCCGGTGACGACTGACGGCTCTGCCTCCGCCTGGGCCTCCCCCGATTGCCACGCCCCCGGCAGACGACAAACCATGCTGCCTAAAAGGCGCCGCATTATTGCGAGTATTCTACTGCTCCCACTGTACAGTGCCATGCCCTAGTGTCATGCATGCATGCCACAGCGTACGTGCGTGCGTACACTCCTACTCCTCAAGATGCAGACGCAGGGAAGGGAGCACCGGATTGGATCGGATCGATGGGTGCAAATGTTGCAGCGCGCGCGCTGCTACTCTAGAGCCTAGCCTAGACGCACGACATGGCGGGCGATCATCCTTTGAGAAGGAACCAACCACTTTCCTCGGTCCTTCGCGGAGACACTGCTCGTGGCTACGGACCGAGCGAGCGACACCTACCCCGAAGCTCACCGCCCCAAGATGTGGCTGGGACCGCCTCTGCCTTCTGACAAGTGACGGCTCACGAGCCCATCTCCTTTCAAAACTGTTTGCGTTGTACTGTACTGTACTACTACTCGGTCCTTTGGCATCACATGTCTCTCCACCGGCGCAAGCTTGTGCCCGCAGATTGTTACGCAGCAGTGGCTGTTGTACTTTTTTCTTAAAAAAGGAGGATGAAATCCGGTCTTCTGCACCTAGACGATGCATACGATTACTTTATTAATTATTCTTACAAGACTCTATAAAGTCATACAACAGTAAAGCTAAAAATATCGTCTAATCAACAAACTGTCGCTACATCTATCCAGTTGATGAAGGAATGCAGATAGCCTGGGCCTAATACCAAACAGACATCGCAACCAAACCTAACATTTAAGACCTAAGACCCCAATTTAGCCACTTGCCGGGTCTGAAGCACACACTGCAGCCGTAGAGGTCTCATCCAATGGCTTATGGCTCACACACGAACTTTGACGCACCTAGCGTTGCACCGTATCTTGCACTAAGCTGGGGAAAAAACGCATGTTTGCCACCGCTCCTAAACTTGTCCCGACGACACAAATGAAAATGGCACCTAGAGTAGTAACGCTTCAAAAACGCGCCCTCCCCAGGGATAAGCACGCACGCGCGCGGCCTATATAAGCTGCTCCGCGCCCGCTAAACCCTCCACCCCTCTCGCCAGTCTCCAGCAGCTCCAACCTCAATCCATCGCCTCCACCAGCCTCCAGTACCGCGCTCCCGTCGCAAGAGGCTTCCTCGACCTCTCCTTCAAGCAGTGCAGACCGAAGCCTACGCGGGGCTTCGCGCCAGGAGCTGGCTAACCATCAGCAGTCCCTCGCGGCGGCGCCGGCGCCGGACGCGGAGCTGGCCGGGGAGACGGAGGAGCAGCGCGGCAAGTTCCTCGTGCTGCGCCTCTACGAGGCGCTCAACGCCCGCGACGCGCGCCGGGCGCAGGAGCTGCTCGCCCCGGACCTCGAGTGGTGGTTCCATGGCCCGCCCGCGCACCAGCACATGATGCGCCTCCTCACCGGCGCCGGCACCAACGCCGAGTTCAGGTTCTGCCCGCGCTCCGTCGACGCCTTCGGCTCCACCGTCATCGCCGAGGGGAGCGCCGGCCAGCTCCTCTACTGGGTGCACGCCTGGACCGTCGGGCCCGATGGGGTGATCACCCAGCTCAGGGAGTACTTCAACACCGACCTCACCGTCACCCGCCTCTCCGCCGCGGCGGCCACCAACAACGCCAGCGCGGGCTCCCCTAGCCACTCCTCCTCTTCCTCTGCCTCTTCCTCCCCCTCCTCGTCCACGTCCTCGGGCCTCTCCTCGCCGGCGCACACGCCCAAGTGGCCCAAGTGCCTGTGGCAGAGCCGCCGCACCGACCGCGCGCGCAAGTCGCTGCCGGGCCTCGTCCTCGCCATCTAACAACAGAGCCTACGCCTACGAATGAGTAAACTAGAAATCAAAGGAGTTGCTTTGCGTGCTTGAATTAGCAGCGTGATTTATTTGGTCTAGATCATGGATTATGGTGTGTACTCCTGCTACTGGGGCTTGCTCTTGCAGCTGAATAAAAGTAGTATATTGTATTGGAGCCTCAAGCAATGTGTGACGTGTCACCTTCATTTTTTTTTCCTTTTCTGTTTCCTTGGTGTCATGACCGGTCTTCAGCTGAACAGAGCTACTCCCTCTTGATTTGATTTGACCACACATTGAAAACTTGTTGAGCCAGGAACTGATGCTTCTTGCAGGAAACCAAAAAGTCTGGATAAACCAAGTACACGGATGCAGAGATTCATACCAGAGCGGCGGAAAGCCTCCCGTATCCGGGGGAAAGTTGAGGGTGTTGCTTTCAGCGTAGCACGCACCAAACAAATCCTTGATGTGAAGTTTGCTGGGTTCCCGATGGCACTTGAGGAACACAACAAGTCTGGAATTTCCTTCACACAATTGCCCACTTTTCTGCTTTCTTTTCTTTTCCAACTGAACTGTCCGTTCCCAATTATTTCCGACGTGTAAAAGGTGGTTGACCCAAAAGCCGTCTGTGTTTTCGTCTTGGTTTTTCTTTTTTTCTTATCTTGGGGCCTTGCCTTTGCTTCTGAACTGGGTCATCTGAACATGCTGTTGGAGAGCACTTCAGGCTTTCAGCACCTTTTGTACAAAAAAGGAGCGGTTTTTAGAAAATCCAACAAGTTATACTTTACTTCGTTTGAGAAAAGTTGAGGATTTCACTGGCTACACGAGACGCACATAAGCTTTTTGATCTTTGGCTCTGTGATGTGCGTGACAGCATGCCACCAGATAATCCGATATGATAGCTGCTCTCTCGGCAATGAGATCGATGGGCATTCTGGATCCTGGAGGACTGCAGGTCTGAAACATGTGCCTTGTTCGACTGAACTTTCATAGTTTCATACTCATGCGTGTACCTATCTGAATTATTAGGCGCTGTAAATTGTACCGGCGAGCCGGAAAAGCAATACTCACGAACCAGCTCACTTGCCTTTCGGAGTCGACGTCCATATGCATGAGCTTTTATGTATTTGTATGCATGTACTTGTGGCTGGCATCAGATTTTTGTGGTTTCTTATATATGTATATGGTCAACTGTGAACCACCCTAATTATATAGCTCTACATTATTGTACTATACTGTTCATACTCAACTTATTACGTTTTGAACAAAATGAAATCAGTTTGTGCGGATAAATAATGGATGTACGTACTTGGTCGTCTCATCGTCCTCCTTTCAGGCTAAGGCTAAGGCAAAGCTCCGAAACAGCAGTTCGGTTCAAGCACCCCCACGCTATCGCAGGCCACTACTCTAGGACGCTGGAATGTTAATTTTCAGCACTCAATGTATTTCATTCCAATTGGATCGTAACATCGATGTCGTGCCTGCTATTGAAAAATTCGACAGAACATCTAATCTTGCCTCGATGCAGAGACCGGGGGTTATCATCCTTTTCGGAGAAAAACCTAATCTTGCACGAGTTGGGATTTAATCACCGAAAGTACTCGACAACAGGGGAGGAAGGAAACGATGGGTCGTCTTCATCAAAGCATAGGAGAAGGAAATGTCCTAGCCAGTGACAATTGGCAATAGCACTGCGTCGTAGTCCGTCCAGGCCAGCAACTGGGCGAGCATGAAAACTGTTCCCTGGATGTGCAAGTGACGAGTGAGCAGCGGGCCACTAGCTATGCCTTCGAGGACTAGGTCTCCAGACGAAACGAACGTGTCACGTTCGCTCCCTCGCTTTCTCCGATCCAGCTTGATCAAGTGGTGCCATGCGGTCGATTGCCATTGATATTTTTTTTGAGAAACCGGCAGAAGCATTGTCTTTTCATATAAGAAGGAGGGTAAAGTTTATGTACAAGAGAGTTTCGGTTTTCTGAGAGAAACCGAACAAAAACCCCTAGGAACTAATCAACCGATACCGGCTGCCACCTGTGCTCGGCCAAAAGCCAAAGTCCTTTGCTTGATGTCGTCGAAGGCAATAGCTGCTACCTCTAAGTGCGTGAGGCGAGTTCCATTGAAGATGCGTCGGTTTCGCTCCTTCCAGATGTTCCAGATGGTGTAAAGGAAGCGACCGCTCCGCCTTCTTCCGTCGTCCTTGGGCAAATTGGTGGTGAACGAATCCCACCAATCCGAAATCCCCATCGAAGGGGGCAACGTGGGCGTGGCCCCAGAATCCTCTCCCGTCCACACCTGGACGTGAGACCAAATTGCGGCGGCAAACGGGCAGTCCTTGCAGAGATGAGTGGCCGTCTCCGGTGCCCCAAGGCAAAGGGGGCAGCGAGGGTCGTGCGGCCAGCCACGAATGGCTAGCATGTCGACCGTGAGGATTTTTCCGTGGAGCACAAGCCAGGCGAAGAACTTGCATTTTGGCTCAGCGTGTGCCTCCCAAATCTTGGCGGGGGAAAACCTGGGATAGGATGCAGAGAACTGGACCGCGTAGGCCGAAGCAGCAGAGTATATGCCATTTGGGGTCCACCGCCAAGTGATGGAGTCCTCCTGGTCCGGGTTCAACTCAACCTGAGAGATAGCTGATGCGAGGGCAATGAACTCCTGCAGATGGGTAGGCGATGAAAGACGGGCCACCGATCTGATCCAGTTCTCCTCCTGGAGCTCCTTCATCACAGTTCTCCTCTTCCTGGTGGCAATTTTATACAGCTCCGGGAAGGCCCGAGACAGGGGACCCCGTCCTGTCCAGTTGTCGTGCCAGAATAAGGATTTTCTCTCATTGCCCAAGGAGATGGTGGTAGAAGCCCTGAAATGCGCCATATCCGTCTCATCGCAGGGCACCGCAGAGCCCACCCATTGGCGGCCAGGATCAGTCCACATAAGCCAAGGCCAGCGCAGTCGGAGCGCCCGACCAAATCTCTCGAGGTCAGTGATTCCCAGGCCCCCCATGGGTTTAGGCCGGCAGACAGTCTTTCAGTTGACCAGAGAATGTCCGCCAGACGTGTTTTCCGAGTCTTCCCCACACCAGATGAAGTTACGAGTGATCTTACTGAGCTTCTGGATTGCCCAAGTGGAAAGCGGGAGCGCAGTGAGGTGATGATTTGCGATGGCGCACAATACGGACTTTGCAAGGGAGACTTTGCAAGGGATTGCCATTGATATTTCGTAACTAAAACTAGGCACAATGCATGCATGTGTATGTGGTCTAAGGTGGGGATCTATTTGATCCATTCGTGATGTGAACCTGCCTGCTGTCGGCTATGAACTGATGACAGATAGTTTGTGCCATGTCCTTATATTTTATTTTAGTTTTTGAAAATTAGGCTTCAGTACGTAGTATATGGTGTTTGCATCAAGATGCAAAGGCCATAATTTATTTCATAGTTTAGTGTAAACAGGGTGAAATTGCCAAATCAAACAAAACAGGACATGCCACACTAGAATCAGTTTACGAACTAAAGGCATCTGCAAAGCTGACCTGCAAATGTCTTGGGTATATGTCCATTTTATGTCCGGACATGGTCCGCTGACATGATGCGAGAAAGAGTCATCCAATGTTAATCATAAAGTATCCGGTTGGAAATAGAAAAAGTAAGCGGCGACCATGCACGTGGTGGGATATTTGTGATGTGTCCGGTTGGAAGAGAGAAAGGGAGGGACCATGCATGTGAGGTTGAGAGGAGAGAGGGACCATGCATGTGATTGGTCAAGTACATGTCCGGACTCCGGCAAAGCCCCCTCACGTTTGTCTCTTGGATACCGAAATCCGTACGTCTGAACTGCTAAGGGGACATATGTAGGTTCCCATTGGATGGCAAAAGTGGTCCGAACACTATGGTCCGGACATATAGTGAAGGTTTGAGAGTCAGCTTTGAAGATGCCCTAAGGAGTCTATTACATGCAATCCAACCAAAAGGCAGAATTTTCAAAAAAACAATAATGATAAAGGAGTTTAAACTATCGGCGTGTCCATCATTCTAATGCACAGAACCATCTTTTTATGAATTATTGTGCAGAGTATAAGACAAAGACAACTACGGTTGAACCCTTGTAAGATATGAATACCACCCATGACTAAGTCAATTACTTCCCCCAACAATGTCTTCAAGCAGCCATAAACACCCATGAGACATAAGTTTCTTTGTACTTCCCCCACATCTTGTTGTTCATGCAAAAGTAAAGAGTTTCTAGATTAAACACTTGCTCTTGCAATGCCCTTTTTGCACTCGGCTAGTGTGATATGTGGTATATCTTGGCTCCCAATCTTTATGATTTTATAGTATCTCTTATTTAGTTGGTCTTATAGTATTTCGGATATGTACAAAAATTGGTTATCACTAGACAAAAGTACTTAAGGTCCAAACTGTAGTTGGAGTCTATGTTTTATGTTCAAGCCACGTGAAATAGTTGCAATGATATTGCATTTAATAAACATAGAGTTGTGTTTTTATAGGTTACATGGCTATTCATTGGAACAGTATGGTGCTTACTGCAAGCGGAATTGATCTGCATCCGACGCTTTTTGTACAACATGCGCATGTCACTCATACCCAACAGACTGAAGGTGCCAGCGAACTGCTTCGGATGGTGCCTATTGTGCATCGGACACGCATCAGACACAAATCGCCGTATGCATAGCACGGCTCTACTACAAGCAAAAGTGCTACACCAATGAAATTATTACGTATCTTACTTATAAAACGACATCTCCTTCCCCAATCCCCACTAATCCCCTCTATGAATTTCAGGGTGGCTTGTACTATCCAATTAAACAAAGCCACATCACACACACACAATATTCATAGCTAACCTCACTGTAAGTGTAGTAAAGCTCTACTGCAAGTGTGGAGGCGCATGACACACAAAAATATCGGTACAACCACTTAGAAGCAGTAGTCTAGCAATAGGATGTGTGATGCATACATTTCTCTCAAACAAGCGATTGTATAGTGTTCTTTTATATG